ATGAAAGGTTCAGAATGCTCATAATGCTAACCTATGCTAGATACTTCAGATGTTACTGCCAGCATTGACGACGCCAGAAAAAAAAGGGGGGGTTAACTGAGCAGTAGATTATGAGTTTTTTGTGGGGAGAGAGGGTTGTTTTTCCCTCTCTTCCCCTCTCCCTGTGGGAATGGGCGCTGGAATGTTCATGTGTTTTTTTTTGAATTTTTTGTGTCTGATTTTCCTTTTTTTTTTTAATTGAAAAAATATTCCAAGGTTTGGTGCTGGAGGCAAGGGGATGTGGTGGATGTGATGGCGGGAGATGACGCGCTCTACGGCGAAGAGGCTAGCCTGCAGGGTTGTAATAGGGTACAACAGCGGTGGAGATGATGACTTCATCGTGGTAAGACTTGCCGGAGTAGGGTTCCTGAGGTTTGTTAGGGGGATATCTGCAACCAGTGCACGAAGAAGACGAATAATGGGATCTACAACTATGGTGCTGATTGGTGGCTGGACTGCTATTTGCCTTAGTCCTAAGTCCCGGTGGTTTGCAAAAAGACGAGGCCAGAACGACGCTGGTCAGTGTTGGGGGTTGGTCCTGCTGCCCTGTAACTCGAGCTGTACGAGGGCATGACACCTGGGGAGTTGTCGAGGGTGGAAGGCACTCTAGTGTCTTTTGGTGAGCTCGTGCCTAGTCAATGCTGGTTGGAGCCGGGGCGGGTCGCTTTGCCCTGTGGCCTAGAAGTTGGGGGGGGTTCTGGGGTGGGTCGTGCCACTCTGTAACCTAGCAGTTGGGGGCATGAGGCCTGGTAGAGATTGGGCATCAGGATATAGGGGTGTGGCAGGTAAGGGTTGGATTGTTGAAAGGTCATAAGGCAGGTGGTTTTTTCATTCCAAATGCTTCTTTGATCCAAGCTTTGGGGGACACAAAATTTCAGTTTTCTTGTTTAAAAAACAAAAAGCCGAAGCCGGGTAATGGCCCCGGTATCTCAAGGATATCTTCAAAAAAGGTTTGTTTACAGGTGGTTCTGACTCCTGAGAATGCTTCAGGATTTTGGGGACTTCTAGCAACTCGCTTTAGGCTGTTTGATACTTGTACATTCATGGATTTGCGGTTGTTCGATGCTAGAACAACGCTGGCCGTGGTGCTGGGGTGTCACCTTGTAACCTGCCGACTGCAGGAGCGTGAGGCTTGGTAGAGAGATCTGGGGATGCTTTGGGCTGGGCATTCCAAGGGACAACCAAGGGTTGTTGTTGGGACGACGCTGGCCGGAGCCGGGGCGAGTCGTGTTGCTCTGTAACCTAGCCAGGTGGGAGTGTGAGGCCTGGGAGAGCTCGACAGGGAATAAGACAGTGTTGGATAGCTTTAAAGAGTTTTGTTTGGGAGTCTAGGGGTTTTGAGCATTCTTAGTTTTTCAACCTCTCTTTAATTCTTTTGATTTTCTTCAATAGTTTCCAGATTGATTCTCAGCTGAAGCCGAGTAATGGCCCCGGTATCTCAAATGACTTGTGTAACTCTATATGGGACACCGGGTCCGGTTCTCAACACGTGCTGCTCCCCACAAATAGATTGGAGCATTTGTCCCGAAAAAAAAAAAAAGCAGATTAGGAACATAGTAAGGAAGATAGTTATGTACATTAGCGGAGTCCTCCCCATGGGGCTCCAGGGAGGAACTCCATATGTGGGTGTATGTAGATGTGGATCATACAGAGGTAAGTAATTAGGCATTCAGGACAAAATCTTCGCCAGGGAAAGGGCATGAGGTGGGAAGGGGTTTGGGAAATCCGAGGGAGGGCGTAGTGGGAACGAGGGTTCTATGTTTGTCCAGTCTTTGAAAACTAGGCGATAGTCTCTCATTGCTTCCAAATCCCGCTGTCCCTCTCCGCTACCTCCACGCTATTCCACCCTTGCAATCCACCCTTCTCTGTCCCCTCCTACTCAGTTTGTGCAAATCAGTCTCCTAACATTACCAACTTGTCTAAAAAGGTCTACTTGTGATTTTATATCCGACCATCTTTGTGTGAGTTCAAATGCACCTGCTGCTGAATCTGTTATGTGATCTCTGACCCCTCTATTCTCACCTTCTCCATGACCAGGGTACACCTCTGCCACCAGAGTGCCCATATCACTGCCCTCCTTCCCAGTCTATACATATTCTTTACAAAGGTCGTGGTTTCTCCTGCCATCCGTCAGTGCCCAACCAATATGGCTTGCCATGACCAAGGCCAGGGGATGTCAGTTTCCATTTTTCGCCATATGCAGTCCCACCATCTTCATGTGAACTGGGCGATCGGGCATTGCATGAAAATATGTTCAATGGTCTCCACCTTCTTGTGGGAAGGGAATAAACTCTGGCACCACTGGCACCATGGAAGTAGCAGGCCTCTTTGTTCCAGGTTAGTGCGGTCTGTCAACTGGCCCGAAACAAAGACTTGGATACCACAGAACCGTGGGTAAGGCTGCTGAATGTGAGAGTGGTGGGTGACCAGGATAACGGGCTATCATCCATACGAGCCCACCACACCCATCGCCCGTCTTCCCTTAGACCTAGACGACTGGGAATGGACGAGCCAACAAACTGTGCACATCTGGGATTACACTGTCAAAGGGGGATACAAAGCATCTCGCCCGTGGCAACAGATTGCACAAACGATTTTACAAAGATGGGAGCGAGACTCACTGGTGAATCCACAGTTGCTGAACAGCCTCCCTTGGGCCAAGTATTCCAAAATAATGCCCACAAGCCTCAGATCCCTGCAATGGCAAATTATACACCGTTGTCTCCTCACCCCCGATTGGCTTGTCTAAAAAACAAACCTTCAGCAGAAAGGCCTGCTGTCCCCGCTATGACTTTGCAGTCCCGTAGCTCCCGACCAACTTTCTCTTGATCCCTTAGAATCCCCATCATGGAATGGACCCTGCCCCCCCTTGCAGTAACTCCCTCCCGCGTCCCTCCTGCTACCCTCGCCACCATCTTCTTCCGACTCCCTTCCACCCCTAATCCTCTACCATCCCGCCATTTCTACTGCCGCTGCAGATGATCGGGACAACTGGACGTCTTGAGGCCGCTGAGGACAAGAGTGCCAACTCACACGGGACTTTGGACAGATGGCATGTGAGAGTACAACCATTGCAAAAGCTGCATCCTTGACTCATCTATGAGCTCTGAGACCTCCTGCTGCCGGCTCTGTCCGGGGAACAGCGCTTGGACCGATCAACTGGGATCACTCCTCATTCAGGGGTTCATCTGATGTGAATGTGGAGAAAGGTAAATCCCGTAAAAACAGTAATTTTGGCTCTTTTATGACGCTGGGCCCGATTTCCAGCAGGTGCAGCTCCCCACCAATGGAACGGAGCTCTTACCAGCACCCCTTCTACACCCGCAGTCGATGTTCTCATTAAAAAAAAGCAAAAAAACAAAAAACAAAACCTGATATGCTGAAGGATTTTGCACTTGCCTTTCCTGTTTCGAATCGTCCTTCACCTCTTCTACTTTTGTCTGCAGACTTTGTGCCATCCCCTCCTCTCCGTCTGGAGCCCTGGCAACCATATTGCACCTTCATAGGAAAGGTGAGAACTACCTCCCAACCTTGTTCTTGCGACTTAAACCACCACTACCCCCCAACCTTGTTCCCCCAGTACAGATTTTTGTCTGTCTCTCTCATTCCCAGCCATCACGGGGACAAGCCCTACCAGACCCTGCCAATCTTGTTCTCTCTCTCTCTCTCTCTCTCTCTCTCTCTCTCTCTCTCTCTCTCTCTCTCTCTCTCTCTCTCTCTCTCTCTCTCTCTCTTCGCTTGGGATATCATCTTTGAACTGACCAGCCCCAGTCAAATTCATAGTTGTTTTTATTCATCTGACTTTATTGGAATTCAAACTCTGGTCTGTGTTTCAACAGTTGATGGGTGTACCAACTGAGCTAGGCCAGTTGGTCCGCCAGCCATTGTGGTCCGATAGGCCAAGCCATTACACGGCACCATGTTAAGCAGTAGCTGCACACACGATAGCTGGGTGGGTACTGGTGACTTAAACCACCAGTACCTCACCCAGCTATTGAAGCCGAGCCTGAAAATGCCGTGTGTGCCGGAGAAAACGAATCAGCGTGGGCCTCACTTTGGCTGGTGCCACAGCCATTTCGGTCTGGTACCTCGACCCCTGAAAGTTGCGGTCATTGCAGAGCCGCATATTTGTTTTCCAAGCGGGGACAGGCACTGGTGGTTTAAGAGGAAAATAACTGCAGGGAAGTATACCTGTTGGGTCATGCAAATTAAGGAAAAAAGCCTATAAACCTCCAACTGGGACACACATCGAATGAATTGCCTGTGGATGTATTGACAGCGTCTTTTCTTCTAGTCTTCTAGAAAAGTCCAGGCTGAAGATGATCTCTGTATGTCTATAGTATGGCCCTCATTTTGCCGTTGGTCGATAGGTGTTTTCTCCAGTCATTTTTGCCGGCAGTGATTGTCATGATTTTCAATGTAGGTGGGGTAACTGACTTTGGTGGTTGCTGCAGCCTTTTTCTTGTTGATGTCATTGGGTGCGCGAGAGAGAGTGGATATGGGATCCCCAGACAGACTGCCAAGTAGGAGGTGGACTGTTCGAAACATTTTTTTGCGTTTCTTTGTCATTCCCTTGGGGCCAAAGGTGACTGAATCTGGACACACTTCTTGCTCACATTCCTTTGGGGCCAACAAAGATGGAGAAGCCACCATAGCCAACCTCGTTGCTTCCCTGGGATGAATTCAAGAACGTTAAATTCCAAGTGACCATCTTGGAACTAGTTTCTGTCCACACCGTCATGATAAGTGGCGAGGAGCTGGCCTTCTTCTTCTTCTCCCTTCTTCCCCTCTTGTTCCTCCTCCTCCTTCCTTGTCATCATTATTGTCTGCTGTATTGACATGTGCATGTCAAAAGTCAAGATGGAGTCATCGATAGGAGCTTCACTTCAACGCATGAAGTTTTGAGAGACATGGGGACCAGCTTGAAGGAACCATAGGTGGACCAAATGCTGGAACAGTCCACGCTTTCAACTATTGCTCTTTTCTGAGGGGTTGTGGGGAATTGGTGTTCTTCAGGGGTGTGTAATCAAACTGGAGGCGTTGATGGCCGCAGTGCAACTGTAGACAGCTTTCTTTGCACTGATTCGAGGAAGTTTCGGTTCAATTTGGGGACCAGGGGCCCTTGGCCTGTAGGGGTCCCAGAACGTGGCGGAGTGAACGATCGCTTCGGCCCTTGAAAGCGAACCGACTGTCTCCTCTTTGCCATGAATGATGCTACTCCTCCTCCTCCTCTTCCTCCTCGTCCTCCTCCTTCTCCTCCTCCTCCTCCTTCTCCTCCTCCTCGTTCTCCTCCTCCTCCTCCTCCTCCTCCTTCTCCTTCTCCTTCTCCGTCTTCTCCTCCTTCTTCTGCTGCTGCAGCACTGGAATCGTCCACTTGAGAAGCTGATCCAGCACCTGTAGCAGCCTCATCCTCTTCCGCCGACTGTGTTTTGACGAGTGGAAGGGTAGGGGAATCAGATGAGGGGCTTAAGAGTCGTTTGGGAGTATATCGACGGGAGGATGGGTTAGCAGCAGAAACAGAGCCTGTCGTTCTACCCCCACCACCCCCTTCTTCAGAGCTTTCTCCTCCATCAGTCAGCCCATCTGAAGTCGCTCCTGCGAGCTCCAACTGCAACTGCTCTTGGTAGTGCTTTTGCTTGTCTGCAACCTCAATTGCTTTCTTCTTCATCTTCTTCTTCAAGTGATATATGCCGCTGCTTAGCTTCACCCAGGTATAGAGGAGCCCTGTGACTCTAGCCACGTTGAAAGCGTCATCCTCTGTTATTTCGTTAAGAAATGATTCTACCCATTTCAGCACTGTTTCGTACCCTCGTTTACCTGCTTTACTGTCTTCCTCTGCGGCCACCATGAGAGCTGCAGTTATGCAAGCTCGTCTCCTGAAGTTGAGCGATCGCATATGCACTCCCAGCTTTGCCGCCAGATTGCCCCTTCCTACAATGAACGGTCGTATAAGTAGCCACGTGTCAAGCAAGCAAGGCGTCTCTATCGGCTTGTCGGCCTTCTTGACAGCCCTGATTTCCGATCTGCATCCTTCCAGGTCCAGCCCAGACAAGATCTTCCCACTGACCACCAGGAAGAAGCACACCCACAGCACTATCATGATGGGCGATGGCCGCGCGTAGGCCGCCATCTCCACCGCTTGACGGCTCATGTCTTCTTCCTTCATGATCTCCACCACTTGTTTCCTCAGCCTATCGTACTCCGCTAGCATCTCCGTCGCCATCGCGAAGGACTGGCCTTCATCATCCTCTATGTTCTTCAGGGCCGTCAAGATCCTGGTCATGGTGTGCAATTTGGCCACTCGTTTCTCTCTGTTGGCCGTGAACAGTCGAGCCAGCACCCGCGCCGCTTCCCTGATCAAGCTCGCCTGGGACAGGACCAGATCGCCTTGTCTCTTGCCCAGGGTGTCAATGCAAAGCGCGCCAACGACTTCCCCTTCCAAGTTTATGCCGATTGCGAAATAGGAGCCTTCGATGGGGTCCGGCAGGGACCTCCCCAGTTCCTGGGCCCAGAATTTGATCCTCGGTTCGTTCTTCAGGTTCGGCACGTGGACCGTGAAATGGTCCAGGACCGTTCCTGTGACGTCGACCCGAGGCCGCTCCTGCCCGTACTCTCCCCTCGCCACCAAGCAGTCGTAGGTGACCCCTTCCCCAGGCTTCAAGTACAAGCCGTTCAAAAACGTGTTCTGGGGATCCGCAGCGATATACTGCAGCCATGTCGCGCGCTGTGCTTGTTCCTGCTCCGCCTGCATCCCCGCGGCCACGGACGTGAGCATATCAACAGCATTTTTCGCTGTCTCGGGGTTGGCCAAGGCCTCGGCGGCGGCGGCCATAGCCGCGTCGGCAGGATTCGTCGTCATGATGCTGTCTCCATCGCCAGAATCGGGATCGGGACTTCGCGCGAGCAGGACCGAGCCGTCCTCGCCGCCTCCTACCCCGACACTGCTGGACACGCTGCCGCCCAACGCGCCAAAGGAGGAGAAAGACCGCTCGCCTATGCTTGTGGGGCCATCGGGGGCAGTGACCAAACACGCCACGTACGCCGCCACGTGGAGGTTCGCGTTCAGCGTGTAGCACACCTTCTGCGCCGCCGCGACGAGATTGTCCTGCTCTTCGCCTTCCGTGGCTGCTTCGCCCAGCCCTTCTGTGATACCTCGAATCTCGCTCGATATGTGCGACATCTCCGGAATGGAGGTGGCTTTCTCCCATTGAATGTAATCTTGCTCCCTCATTCTCTCTCTCTTCCTCATCGCTGCCAGCTCGGCCTCCATCTCCTTGAGTTTCCTGCGCAGGTCTTCATACTCCTTCTCCATCTCCACCGATCTCTTCTGCACCCTCGTCATCTGCGCGCGCCACGTTGCATTCTCCCTCACGCGCAGCGATTTCTCCATTCCCAACATCGACGCTGCATTCCGGGTCGCCTCGTCCCTCAGCTCCCTCATCTTCACAGCTTCGTCTAGTGCTTCGTCCCTCGCTATCATCAAAGCTGCGTTCTCCTCCTGCAAGCGGAGGACAATCACAGCATTCTTCATTCTTTCGAGTAGCAAGCCCAGCTTCCTGGACCTGCCTTCTCTAGACTCCTCGGGGGCCGAGCGACCAGGAATATCGCCACCCTCCTCAATCTCCTTGAGCTGGGTCGACAACTCTTCTCGGTACCTGGTCCTCTCCTTCTCCAGCTCCACCTTAAGAGCGAATTCTCGGTGTTTGAAGTACTTCCTCTCGTCTTCGACCTGACGAAGATAAAACTCCATCCGCTGCTTCACCAAGTCGCGCAGAAGACCTTGAGAGAGAGTCAGGAGAGGGAGGACGTTCTCCACCGTCAAGCCGGCGGCCAATACCGGCCTGAGTCTCGACACCCAGTGGCTGAAGGTCATGATATCTTGCTTCGGCAACGGCTGAGGGACAATCACCAGCCGAGCTTCAGAAGCGGCGAAAGCCCCAGGGTTCATCTTCTCGTCCTTCTCCTCCTGCATTTTTGGATCTTCTCCGCCTCCTCCTTTTCCTCCTCCTGCTGTTGCGTTCTTGTCCCCAGCAATCAACGAGGGTGTCGTCTTGAAGATTGGAGGTCTGCCAGGACCTCGAACATAACCTAATCTTAGGTTTTGCTGCTTCAGCCTTTCCATCTCTTTCATCACCGCTTCTTCCGGTGGTATTAAATGCCCCCACCGCCCTTCTACCCCATGACCTGATGCTGCCCCCTCCTCCCCAACACCCTCTTCTCCTCCTCCTCCTCCCCCTCCTAATTTCGATTTCCTCGACCTGACTTTCTTCTCCATGTTCGGCCCGCCCTCGCCGCCGCTGCCGTCCAGACGATCCCGATCCCGATATCCATTCTCGTCGTACTCCTCCTCGTCGATGTACACGTCGTAGTACTGCAGTCGAAGAGACGGAGTGCTACCTTGGTCGTCCGCAGGGAAGAAGAATCTAGTCCACCTCGTCGATGCAGCCTGAACGCTCTCTTCTTGCATGGCAATCCGCGCGCCATAATGGCTCCCCGACCTCATTGCCTCCTCGTCAACATAGGCATAGCCATGACCACCCCTCGCGGAGCACATACACTCTCCTCTCTCTCGTCCACCTGCTACGCCTTCTTTTCCCTCTTCTCGGGGATTGCCTTGCTCGTCGTAAAGCCTCGGTCTTTGTGCAGATGAAGAGAGTCCGATTACCTCAATACCACCCCGCGGGGGCGGGGGGGTTTGGCGCGCTGCTGCGCCGCTCTTTCCCGCCGCCCCCCCCGCGATAGACGCGGAGCCAGCAGAGGCAGCAGAGATGACTCTCTCTTCTTCCTCCTCCTCCGTTCTAATCGACTCGTACTCTTCAAACCAGCTCCTTGCGCGGGGCGCATTATTAGCAGCGGCCGCGATCCGGTCGCCGTCAGACGTAGATCTGTGTTCCGATCCCGACCGTCTGATCTCCTCCTCCTGAATAGCACCACCCCGAGGGGCTGGGGGTTGATTCTCTGCCTCCCTGATCGCGAGGGGGACGAAGGCGGAGAAAGATGGGCGTGAGGGGGAGGCGGCTAAATCTCTCTGTTCTACCCCCTCCTCCTCCTCCTCCTCCCTCCCCCCCTCCTTCTCCTTCCCCTGCACCCACCTCCTACCAACAGGAGGCTCATTAGGAATCCGGGGGTCATCATCACCGCCAGAAACCACCTGTTCTTGATGATGACGACGACGATGATCAGAACCGTTCTCTTCGCCATAATCGACGTCTATCCATTCGTTTATCCTTGTCGGATTTGCTGAATGATGAGGCGACAATGAATGGTCTGCAGGGGATAACAAGACATCTCTATTTCTCACTTTACTGCTGCTACCAATCGTCTCAGTCACGATTTCTACGATCGACTCTTCTATCACCTCTTCTTCTTGGTGGATGGGGCTCCTCTCCAAGCCATCACGACGATGACCTTCGCCGACGACGAGGGGTCCTCTATCACTGGAGCTTCCATAACGTCGCTCATCATCATCATCAGTACGATGATCACGACGACGAGATTTCCTTTCTTCCCCCTCCCCCCACTCTCCTCCTCCTCCTCCTCCTCCTCCTCCTCCTCCTCCTCCTCTCCTTTCCACTGTCATCGTCACCTTGGACTCAACGAGACTTTCAAAACTACCCCAAACTGACGGTTGAGATTTGCCAAGCGAGACTGGAGCGGTCATTGGCCTCGACACCCCCAAATTTCCACCCCCTCCCTTCTCCCCTTGGCTTCTTTTTTCACCATTGCCCTCGCCATTTCTCTTCTCATATGCTTCTCCCTCTCCTCCTCCAATTGCCGGCTTTCTTAGACGGCTTCTTCCCATTTCTCTTCCTCCTCCTTCTCCTCCTCCCCCTGCTGGTGACGACTTTCCTCGCTCACTTGCAGGTGTGCTTCTCCCTGACCCTGGACGGTTCCTGACCAGTTCTCTTCTTTTTCCTCCTCGTCCTGCTGCTGCTGGTGACGAATCTCCTCTCTCAGTTGCAGGTGTGCTTCTCCCTGATCCTTCTTCTCTACTTCTCCCTGATCCCCCTTGTCTACTCCGTGCCGTCGCTTCTCTCGATTTCTTGGGCGACTCTGCCATCTTCGCTCCCATTGACATCCACAGCTCTCGATCATTGAATATTGATTGCCTGCTGATTACCATGTGACGTGGCGTCCGGGAAGCGCAACGCGCACCCCCGTCACCGGGCCTATCTACTTTCAGAATTGCCATGTCGGGATCGGGATCGGTGTTCATCCTCTCCATCTCTCTCTGCCAAATCCATGCCTCCAGCACTCCCTCCCTATCTTCCCTCCTTCTGACACCCGCCCCAGCATTCCTCGCCCCCCCATTTAACCCCCCCCCCATTTGATAGGCTCCCAGCTGCCCTTTATACCGCCCCCCCCCTCCTGGATGTTGTTTACGCGCGGGCTCCCCTTTGGTCGTTATCTGTGCCCCCTGCCTGCGATCATCTGCCATCTCACCTAAGCTTGATGACAACACCGCCTCCTTCTCCTCTTTCACGTGGCCCACTCTCGGAGCTCTGGCAGATTGCCACCTCTTCTCCTCTCCTCCTCCCCCTCCTCCCCCTCCTCCTCCTTCTTGTCGTTGATTAGGGTTAGGTCCATCTTGCGGTACGATGCTCTCTTCTTTGAGGAGCTCATCGTTACTGACCCTTTGAGTACCCGCACTCGATGCACTGGCAGGTCTTGTCACCCTAGACCAATCAATATTTCTACTGCTAGTGAACACGGATCGTCGCTTCCCTCCATTGCTTGCTCTCGACAATCTATCGTGGTAAGAGACATGCGATGTGGCGGCGCGCAGGGGAGAGCGGTCGACTCTTCGGATCGTCATCGGACAACGGCTATGGGGTCAAGCGCACACCTGCACACCAGAATTATCACCGCTGCACCTAGTCGCCATGTCGGGTTACATTCGTTCCCGCCAGCTCAACACACCCTCTGGTGTATCATCCTCTCTTCCGCTCCACCTTTCCTCTGCGGCGGGCACCTACCCGTCTTCCCCCGCATACAACGCACGGCGATTACTGCTGTATCTAGACTCAAAGTTGCCCCAAATACAGCTATAATGACCGTACGTTGTATTCCGGTGAAGACAGTAGAGAGGAACCCTCGACCTCCCTCGTGTGCGCGAAAGCGCTTGCTTCTTCTTGCGCGCGCCGGCTGCGCGCCCTTCGCGCAACTCTAGATCCATTCTCGTTCATTCTTCCACCAAGGGAGCGTATTCACCCTTGGTGCTTTTACGGCACAATGTAGACGTAACTTCGACCACATTCATGCAGGTAACGCCTGCTAGATCGTGACCTAACCAACAGCATGCATTTGATACTGTTCAGCTGCAGATCGACACATCTGCTGGCTGTGTACAACAGTATCATAGCCGTTTAAACTGTGTCCGTCCAGACGGTTCAGATGTGTCTTCCCCACGCTCCGCAGCACTTCAGGTTCCGGAAGAATCGCCATAGGACTGTCTGCACTAAGAATCGCCAGAGGACTGTCTACACTCCTCCACGCTACACAATTTGTAGAGGAGATGTGATCATCATCGCTGCGCGGACTAAGGGCGAAGTTGCCCCACTGGTTGTAGAGTCCGCCCCCAAAAGCTGCAACAGGGAAAAAAAAAGAAAAAAAGAAAAAAGAAAAAAAAGAAAAGAAAAAAGAAAAAAAAAAAGAAGAAGCTGCAACAGGAGGATCTTCCAGAGATCTACGTCGGGCGTCGGTCCACTACTCTCCAAAGTATGCAAAAGGAGACTGAATTCTCTGCTAGAACATGGAAAGATACATTGCCAATTTTTTTTAATTGCCTTTTGTGCATGTGGCGACTACGGTAGTGGAGCGAGAGCCGCCTCGCCTCGGTCGTCTATCTACCATCAGCGCCCCGAATTTTTTATTTTTATTTTTTTAAAATGAGCGCCCCGAATTGGGAGAGAGTACAAAAAAAAAAAAATCAAGAGTAAGTAAACCCTGCTGGAAGCAGTGACGGCGGACAAACGGGACTTTCAGCTGTCCTTCCTTCCTTTTGCGCTCTCGAGCTCTGTAGACGTTGAGCTTTGTAAAGTGGAGCTATGACCCAATTTCCGCGATGACCCAATTTCCGCGATGACCCAATTTCCAAAATTGTCGATCGTATGATAGCTAATACGTTATACACGAACTAACGAAAATTTTGAAGAGTGTAGGGTAGTGTAGCAACGGGCCCATCACTCGCACTGTGCACTGTCTAGGACAGAGTTCTTGGCTGCAATGCAATTAAGCCCCCTCGCTCCACTGCTCTCCTCGTCCACGAAAGACCAAAAATATGGCGGTGCATCTTTCCTTGTTCTAGCGGAAGATTCATTCTCATTTAGCACACTCGGCGAGTAGTGGAGCGAGGCCCATTAACAGGTCCCATAGATCGCAGAATACCCTACCTATCGAGCCGGCCAGGACACCCATTAAAATTGGAACCATAAGATGAGAAGAGTAAGATATCAGAAGAGAGAGATAAATAGATATGCTAACACTTGATCTTAGTCAAAAGGGGCCGCGAAACAATACACACAGAGAAGATTAAGTAAGCATGGGATGGCCCCTGCGAATGACAATGTCTTCTCCTACGGTCGTCGTCATTGCCATATCTACACATAGGCTGAAAGTTGCTCAGCATCCAGCTATGACGACCCTGCGTTCTATTCGGGGGAAAGACCGTATAGTGCGTATGATGCCCTTCAAGTCCCAGTCTGTAACAATCTTCGTATTGCAAAAAAGATGCAAGGAAAAAAAGGACAAAAAAAAACAAAGGCCTCGCACTCCTCGCAGTCCTCCCATTCCTCGCATTTCCTACAGATAGGCTTGAGCAGCTCGGAGGGCGAATTGAACCCGACACTGATAGGGTCGCGAAACTCGGAGAACCCATCAGCCAAAGAACGGCTGTTTCGTGATGACACTTGGCAGTAATCAATCAAAAGGCAGTAATCAATCGAAGGGACTAATTAGGTGTAATCAAAGGGAGTAATTGGGTGTCGTGTTTGCGCAAGGGCCGTGCTAATCAATCTTGTCTGTATCGTTCCAATCTTAACAGGAGGTGCCGAAGGACGAATGGGACTAATTAGGTGCTTCGCGAGATTGTCTTGCACTCTCTGCTCTCGGGATGATGATCGTTATCCGTGTAATGTCTGGATCCCGACCCAAGGTACTCCGCGGTCCCGATCGGAGAATCCAAGCAAGCGGGATCTGCGCATCAAGGTGACTCGCCCGGTCCCGATCAAGGAATCCAAGCAAGCGGGATCTCCTACCCCAGGTGCTCCCCGGTCGCGATCGGAGAATCCTGGCAAGCGGGATCTTGGTTCAAGCGGGATCTGCTCATCGAGGCACTCGTCCGGTCCCGGTCAAGGAATTCCAAGCAAAGCGGGATCTGGATTCAAGCGGGATCTCCTTCCCCAAGGTACTCCCCTCCATAGCCATAGCCATGCCCATGCAGCTTCATCATGTGGGGGGACCTGGCTGCACTAGGCTACTCTTCATCAAATGAGTAAAACGGTGCGTGAAACTTCAGCCAGAAGCTGGGCGGATACGTTCCCCATTATTTTTTTTGGTCCTTTCCACACTTGGCGAGTGGTGGAGTGAGCCGCATTCGCACCAAACCACTCTTCTATAGTTAGGACCCATGAAATTTTGACACGTGGCACCTTCTTCGTCGCATCCGGATGGCCATCATGAATCTGTGAACCGCTCTCCTCTGAGGAAAGTGGACGCTCCCGCCATCGCTCCCAAATCGTCTCTCTCTCTCTCACGCAAAGAGGCCGCGCTACGGACTTCCATCTTGCTCGCTGAGAAAATGATAAAAATGATAAAAATGATAAAATTTTCAAAAAGAACACCGAATAGGCGGGAGCAAGCTGCGAGAAAGACGGGAAAGGAACCGCGAAAAAAGAAAAAGAAAAAGAAAAAGGAATCGCCAATACGCGTGAGCGTCAGATCCCACTACCCTGGATTATTCATTTTTCACCCTTGATTAGAAAGATCAACGGTCAGAAATGAACAAATAGGGGCTACCGTAGTGGGATCTGGCCTGAGCAAGCTCAGAAAAAAGACAAAAAAGAACGGCGAATAGGCGGGAGCGCGCTGCGGAAAAGACAAGAAGGAAGGGCGAATAGGGGGAAGGTAGCCGCCGAAAAGACAAAAAGCACCCGGCGAGCTATCTGAGGAGTGAGTGTTCACACACACGAGAACTTCTTGAGGACTCTTCCAGCCGTCTTGGCGGCCACATTCATTTAAAAAAGTGCAACCGTGGTGTTTCCTTTCCGATTGATTTGCCGCAACCAGTTGTCCCCCGAAAACAACGTCTGATCATTATAGCTCAATTTGGGGTATCTTTCAGTCTAAATACAGCTATAATAATGACCGTATGTTGTACTCGTGGGAGAAGGGTAGCTGGAACGTAGAAGCTTTGTTTGTTTGTTTTTTTTCTGAAAATGTTTGTTTGATTTCACAGAGCAAGTAACCGGGGCCGGGGTCCCCACAATTCAAACCGGAGTGAAAACCTCTGGCAGCGTTAGCCAGTTTCGCTTTTTACGGCACAGGTCATCAGATTGAAAACATAAAGCTATGCTAGGCCTACACTAGTATGAAGGGGAAAGGAATGACACAGTGTGAACCGTAAATTAGACGGGGCCACAGGACCCGAAGTCCTGTACTGTAATATGAAGAGACTGTTCTATGCGTGAGGTAGAAGGTATTCCTGTCTGAAAGCTTGGATCTTTGGTGAGGGATGGTTTAGCTGGGCTGAGTGGGGACTGAGGATGGGAGGGTGCAAGGGAGGAGGGAGCAGTGAGAGGGGGTCAGTGAAGGAGTGGGGAAGTGGAGAGATTAGGAGAGATGGGCAGGGGGGGGAAGTGAAAGAAGCTGGGAGGAGTGTAGGAGAACAGTAAGTACGGACAATTATGCACAGGCCTATGGACGGCCTGATAGCCGGCCTTAAAACGGCTGGTTGGAGTCTGATGTTCCGACCTCCCCTGCTGAGATGCGACACTCTCCTCCCCCCTCCCTGTCTACCTGCTCCTAGCCTATTGTCTACCGCGTGGGCGCGGGGAACGCAGCCCTAAGGTAGCCAAATCAATGAGACTAAGAGCTAACACAAGAGAGAGAGAGAGAGAGAGAGAGAGAGAGAGAGAGAGAGAGAGAGAGAGAGAGAGAGAGAGAG